TAGTGTAAATGAACTTCCAGGGTTTACATGTCTAGGTGAATGTCATTGCATAGTGTTAGTCTCCCTTTAGAAAGAGGACTGTGGTGACAGTCAGACAATAACTATGTGAAATAAATAAATTTAAAAAGAGAAAAAAATATTTTGGATCAAAACATTTAAGGTACAGGCCACAATATGATGGAAACATTGACTTTAAAATCCTCTTCTGGGAGAGCACTGCATAACATGGTCAGAGCATATGGCAGAGAAAGTTCTTTAGTTCACGGCCAGGTTGAGAAAGAGGAATAATATGGGGATGGGGTCCCAATATTCCCTTCAAAGGAATGCCCACAATGACTGAAGACCTCCCGATAGGCTCCATATCTTCAAGGTACCACAATCTTCCAATATGCCAGGAGCTGTCAGCTTAGCCTTTAACACATGAGACTTTTGGGGACACGTCTCTGAGTCATAGTAGAGTTGTTATTAACTGAGCTAGAGAAGAGTGTGAGAGCAGCCACCACAGGTAGAAGAGAAGGCTTTAGTTTGGGACGTGTTAGGCATGCATTATACATCCAAATGGAGTCACAGGCAGCCAGCTAGCCTGACCTGGAGATAGAAGATGCCTCGGTACCCTTAACATGGATAAAGACCTTAAAGCAATGTGAGGCTCATGAGAAGGAAGAAAGCAATAATCATGACTAACATGGTTCCTTATCCTCTGTTGACCATGTCTTTCAGTTTGTCAAAAATAACTAAAGGCTTAACCTTACTATACTTACTTTAGTCATTAGACTCTGACCTAGGAAGTAGAATTCTGTGCAAGTTGATATTTTCCTGTTCTTCTGGGGTTCTCCCTTCTTTCTCAACATACTACCCTTTAATTCATGGTTCTGTGGGGAGATACTACATTTCAAGTTTAAAAAATGCAATGCATTATGTATATATTCAGTACATATAATTCTGGAAAACGTCCATTGAGTGAAATCTTTTCTACAGTAGGAAATGTGTACTGTGATGGTTAAAAGAATGGATTTGAAATGAATTCACATGAATTTAGCATATTAATTAAATCTCACTTCTCTTGTTTACATTGTCAGTGAAACTGAGACCTGAAAGGATTATGGAGAGCATTAAATGAGATAATAAACTTAAAATAGCACAATACCAAATACTAGTAAGATGTTATAAATGCCAGCTCACACACTAATGAGTACCTTTATGTGTGTGTGTATGTGTGTGTGTGTGGTACACAGCCGGGTACTCGTGTACTCATATGGAAAAGAGGTCAAATTATCCCTATTTGCAGATGATATAGGACTATATAAAAGAGATGCCGAAATTTCCACCAGAAAACTCATCAAACTGGCAGGATACAAAATCAGTTTATAAAACCCAATAGCCTTTATATATACCAACAACAAGCAGTCAGAGAAAGAGATCACAGAAACACTCCCATTCTCAATAGCCTCAGAAAAAAATACCTGTGAACTCACACTGAGAGACATCTGGGTACACAAACTTGGGTAGATAGTCCTTAACATATAGGCAAGAATGCCTGAAATCCTGTGGGCAGGCATTTGGTGGTGGGGGGAGGCAGAAAGGGGAGGAGGTATAAATATTTAAATCTACAAGAAGGAGATTAAGGAAGACACAAGGAGATTAAAAGACCTCCTGTGCTAATGGATTGGTAGAACTAACATAGTGAAACTTGTAGGAAATCAGGATGGCATGCTTTAGGGTGATACGGTTCTGAAACTTTAAGATCAATCTACAATCTCTGAGTAAAAGTTCAAGCATCCTGCTTTAAAAAAAGCCCCTTGCTGGCACCAGCTAAAAGCTTTATGTCTTGCTTCTTGTCTAATTGGGCCCTAAAATCTTTGTATGTAGTTGCCAAACCCCATGTGACTGCCAGTTCCTTGTAATGTATAAAAGCCTTCCGAATTTTTTAAATAAACAGCTTGTTACCAGAGCCTCAAGCACCAGAGTCTTCACTCTGTATGCCTCTGATCCATTGTCTCAGAGTGGGGTCCTTCATAGAGTGGCCACCGCAGAAAATGATCATCCCACCAAAAGCAATGTATAGATTCAGTGTAATCTCAATCAAAATGCCATGACACTTTCATAGAAGTAGAAAAAAATCTTAAAATTCATGTGGAATCACAAAAGACTCTAGAGTCAAAGAGATCCTGAGCAGAAACAGCAATGCTGGAGGGATTAGCACACCAGATTTCAATCTGTATTACAGATCTATAGGTATAAAAACAGATGGATGGCCTTGCAGTAACTTAGTAATTATTTGATATTCATTCTCCTGTGGGTCATGTCAGAGATATTCTGTTTCTTTGTTACTGAAAGAGACTCCTTTTGTCCAAGGTGGAATATGTCAGTCATTTTACAAAAAAAGAACAGCAAGAAGAACATAGTGAATTCACCTGGTGGCTAACGTCTTTGAGACACTTTAACCTTAAATTCTCCCTATGGAGATAATAATTAAGATAATTTATGTAATAAGAATGCAATGTATCTAAGCCATTGGGAAAGGTAACTGGAAGCAAGGTGCAAGTACTTTTTTGACACTCTTTATAGGAATTCCATATGCATATCCATATCCAATCCATATCCATATCTGTGCTGGATAGCTTTAGTGTCAACTTGACACACCTGGGTTGAGGGAGCCTCAATTGGGGAATTGCATTCATTGGACTGGCCAGTAGTCATGTCCATGGGGCACCTGCTTGATTGTTGAGTGATGTGGGAGGTCCCAGCCCACTGTGGGTGGTACCACCCATGGGTAGGTGGGCCTGTGTTGCATAAGAAAGCAGGCTGAGCAGGGGCCAGGGAAGCAAGTTGGTAAGCAGCATTCCTCCATGGCCTGTGCTCCAGCTCCTGCCTCCAGGTTCCTGCCCTGAGATCCTACCTTGGGCTCCCTGATGAACTGTGACCTGAGAGATGTAAGCTGAGTAAACTCTTTCCTCCCCAAGTTGGTATTAGTCAGAGTATTTTGTCACAGCAACGAAGAAACAGAATAGGACAATATCCATATCCAATTCTATATCCAGCAATTTGGTTAATATTGGATCAAAAATCTTAAATAGTCCAGAAACTCTGCTGCACTTTTTCAGTGATATTCAATACAAGATCATGTGGAGTTCAGTTTAGAAAGGATTTCTGCACATGCAGATCAGACCACTGCACCACTGAGAGTATCACGGTCTTTACAGGTCTTGAAAGTTTTCAGGCTTACCTGCTGTCTCTTACGATACACTTATTTCACTCATTTCATTTTCAAATATAAGGACATATATTTTTCAAGGAATAGGCCACATTATACTTTTAAGTACCCATGAATATAACATCATTAATATACTGAATTTTTATGACATTTAAAAAAATGTCAGTCACACCTAGAGCAGAGGCTAGATGCAAGGTCAGTGACAGGGCAAGTGCACAGTATGGATGAGTTCCCAGTTCAGATCTCCAGTAGCACAAACACAGGAACAGAAGAAACACAACTCTGGCATAAAATAGCAAACTGTGCTATTCTTATCATAAAATTAGGGCATGGTGGCACAAGCCTTTAATCCCAGCACTTGGGAGGCAGAGGCAAGCCGATCTTTGTGAGTTCGAGGCTAGCCTGGTCTACATAGTGAGTTCTAGGACAGCTGGGTCTACAAGGAGACCCTGTCTCAAAAAAGACAAAAAAAAAAAAGTATCAATTAGGCAGTTAGGGTCTGGGGAGATGTTAACATGAAGTACCCTAAACTCATTTAAATCCAGCTCAATACACCATTGTCTCTGAAATGCATGTCTCAGAAAGAGACATGCTGTTTTGTTCCTGGATGCAATTTCTGGGAAATCATTCCTATTACCATTCTTAGCTGTGTGGAGAAGATGATTTTCTCTAGGGCATTCAATGCAAGTGGTCTCCTAAATGTTTCCCATCTGGAGTAAATAGTGCCATCATGGGCAG